AAGGATTGAGAAAGTGGTGTTGTAAAGTCTTTTTTCTTTTGGATATTTGTTGTGAAATCTTCTTTCTTTTAAGATTTTGTTTTTAAAATCTTCTTTAGATTTGAAGTTTTAATTTATTGATTTGACTTGTTTTTTTTTGATTTTCAGAAAGGTCAAGTCGGAATGTATTTATAATTAATCTATAATAATTGCCAAGTAGCAAAATATTGTTCTTGTTAAGCATTGTTTTGTTAAGCATTGTTTTGTTATAAGCGGACATGAAGAAATATTTGTAAATGCCGAAATAATTGGAAAAATCTATCTTCGTTCTAGTGATGATGATGACATCTCGCTAAACTTTGAAACACTCGAAATTTGTAATGTTTTTCCTTAACTTATTTTCCAAATTTGGTAATCTGTTGAGTACGTATAACAACAACCAACACTACACATTCCCAATAAAATGATTTCTGAGAATTTCTTTCTACAACAATTCCATAATGATAACGACCAGCATCATTCATCGCACTCGGATTTCCTAACTCAGCTGCTTTCATAAAATATTCAAAAACCTTCTTTTCATATTTCTTAACATCAATACAAAGTCATGCACTAAATATATAAATACATTGTTCTTGTAATTTTATTTCGACGTACAACAATACATTCGATCGTAAATACGTTAACCATCTGATTGAAAGTAATCAATCATGTAATGTCGAATAACCACGTGATAAACGTCACTTCATTAACTTTTAAGGTACGTACGTACGTGCGTACGATTCCTTTAGAACGAATGTATATATATAAATTACAGTATATTCGTGAAAACTAGTGAAACTGAACTTATCTCAGTCAATTAAACATTTAGAATTTTGCTTGAGAAAAGGTGGATATTAAAAAAAAGATCATCAGGTTATGAAAATCAGGGACATATCCGTTGACCGATAAAGTTTCAAACTTTTATTGTTCATACGTTACGTAGTTCAAATGTGTAGATTGTTCACGTTAAATATTATGGACATTTTAACATTGTGTTGTGTACATACTAGCATATAACGGGTTTGTACAACAGTATCCGGGCTATACTTGTGCCCAAGCCATAGGTCATACTAAAGCCATATATTGTGTGGGGTGCTCGTTAACGTAAATACGTATTGTACTATATTTAATTAACATAAATTAGGATAATAGTAAGTAAAAATAAGTAGAGATATTCATTATTTACAATATGTAGTCAGGAACTATATTGTAATCAGCTGGATGACAAATATCAAAATGGAATATATCGATGAATATCGAACTTAACTTTGAGGGTCGTACGTATGTACGTACGTAATATATATGCGTACTACGTAATTTTCTAGGTATTTAATAGACTACATCTACGCATTAGCTGTTTTTACCAGTTTATACAAGTATTTTTTTGGCTTTTTTTTGATTGATTAACTACATTACTTTATATACAATATGAAATTAACGTAAAAATTTTTAAATCATTTTTTGATTATCAAAGCCTCCAAAAATTTGAAAAATTTAAAAATCTTTTGATTTTTTTTAATAAAAATGAATATATCCATAAAAAAATTATTAAAAAACCTTTCAAACCCACTATCAAAACCTCCTGCTGTTTTATTAATCTCTGGATCTTTCAATCCAGTTCATCTAAAACATATCCATATTCTTGAAGTTGCTAAAAAATATTTAGAAAACCAATATGAAATAGTAGGAGGGTATATTTCACCTTTTTCAAATGATTATGTTCAAGAAACAAATCCAGATGAAGCAATACCATTAAAAGAAAGATTAGAAATGATACAAATTGTAATAGATAAATCTTCCTGGATTGAAATTAATGAATCCTTAACTTCAAATAATAGTGCAGATTGTAATTTAATTATTACAACTTTATCTGATTATTTAAATGAAAATAACCAAATCAAAGAAATTTTAAAGGAAAAACAATTAGAAGTTATATATGTATGTGGATCTGATTTAATAAAGAAATATTATCCAAAAGAACAATTAAAAAATTTAGAAAATTTTAAAGTCATAATAATTAAAAGATATTTTAAAGAAGAAGAAGTTCAAAATCAAAAAAATCAAGATTGGACAGATGAATACAGAAAAGTTTTAGCTGAATTTTATAAAGACAAGTGGAATGATTTTGAAAAAAATAATGTAATTTTTATAGATCAAAATCAAAATGAAAATGATCCTGATATAAAAATTAGTTCAACTAAAATTAGGGAAATATATATTGAAAAAGATAGCAGTTGGGAAAAAATGTGTCACCCTGAAATAACAGAATATATCAAAAAAAACAAGATCTTAGAATTTAAATCTTTAAAACATTAATTTTTTTTTAGCAATATCTTATCAGGTATATAGGTTTATATTATATTTTATATCAATATTTAGCTTTTTTATCATTTTTAACTATTTTTTAACCTATATAACTATCTGTATAACTTAACGTGCATAACTTTATATTAATAAAGGATATGATTTAAGCTCATACGTCATTTTTCGACATAAGTATATTTATATTTATCGGTAAACGAGAAAAAAAGCTAATATTCAATCGGACATTTAAAGAAAAAATTTGCTAAACTTCTGATTTTCAAAAAATTTCACAAAATAGATTCTTTTTTTGTTAACGATGGTTTAAATATGAGATCATTGTAGCCAATATTATGACATTCTAAGTAGAGTGCGATTCCTGGACTATAATCACTAGAAAATTATGTATATGCGAGCATTCTTTTGTCCTGGATAAATTTTTATTGCGGAGCTTTTATTTAAACAAGATTTTCGATCGATTCGATCGATTCGGTCTAGTACAGTAAAGTAATCATTTGTTACACAACACGAAATTGCCTATCGCTATTACAGTTACAGTATTAATATAGATCCAAATTGATCAACAGTAATTTTTCTCACCGTTAACTCTTTACCATGCAAGAACAGATAAAATATTTTAAAAGTATTAGATCTGTTCGTGAACGTTCAAATAAAGTTTACGAAAAAGCAAAAACAAATTCTCTGAATCATTTTCAAGTAGATTTCTCGAAACTTCAAGAAGTGGTAACTCAAGTACTAGCATCAATTAAACGAGATTATAAACAAATCAGCGATATTCCACCGCACAGTCGTTGGCGCCATTTTGACGTTGGAGGACATACTCGTGTTCAAACACTTATAAATGAATGGAAATCTGAATGTGATAAATTGGAAATAACTCGTAGACTTTTAGATTTATTCGTAATTTCTGTTTTATTAGATGCTGGCGCCGGAAATGTGTGGTCCTATAAAGAACAAAAAACTGGGTATATTTATAATCGATCCGAAGGATTAGCAATAGCATCATTAGATATTTTTAAATCTGGGACCTTTTCATCTTTAGATTCTCAGCCGCATCAAGTTGATGGTACGTGTTTACAAATAACTCTTTATTATAAAATTATTTAACATGTTCATATAATATAGCGGATAAACTTGAAAGAATTAGTGCAGCAGATGTTCGTCTGGCATTTCAAGTTTCGATAATAATCCTTTAGAGGGACTTGAAGGGCGTGCTAATTTACTTAGTCGTTTAGGTCATGCTTTGAAAAGTCACTCTGTATATTTCAAAAGTAAAGATAATTCGGTGAGTAATAAGTTTTAATAATCAATTTCAATCAAACCGATTGTTCCAAATTAGTAATCATAAATATCCATTTAGCCACCAAGACCTGGTAACCTCTTAGGTATTTAAAACGAAAAAGTTATAGTATTCATATTTTATGCTACATTTGCATGATTAATACCTTTATTATTCAACGATAATTACTTAGATTATATACTGTCAAATTCTACTACCAATGAAATTGGAACTTTTGTAAAGCTTGATACGCTGTGGTCGGTTATAATTTATGGATTTTCGGATATTTGGCCACCAACAAGAACTTCTCTAGAAGGTGTACCATTAGGAGATGTTTGGCCATGTGAAGTGCTTAAATCACCAAACGCTAATCCAGGTTCCACAGATCATTTCGTACCATTTCATAAACTTTCTCAATGGCTTACATATTCTCTTATTGAACCAATGAAAAAGATATTAGGAATTACATTTGAAGGAGTTGAACAAATGACCGGATTACCAGAGTATCGAAACGGTTTGCAGTTTAAATTTAAAATTTAATTTATTTATAATTAAAAAGATTGGTTTTTTAAATATTTTAATCCATTATATTTTATAATCGCTACATTATAGGTGGTTTATTTGTAGATACTGGTGTACTAACTCTGAAACAATCGGATGTTGAACGTGGTATAAAATATTACAAACAAAATTTTTTGCCATCTGGTGTTCAATCCGAAATAGAAATTGTACCAATGTTTGAAGTTGATGACTCAGTAGTAATTGAATGGCGTGCCATGACGATTATTTTGATGGATAAAGTTGGAGATGAGGTTAGAAATACACTCGGATTATCAAAGGAGCCACTTTCTTTAACTTGGAAGGTACGTTTTAAGATTTTAGTTAATAATAATTTTGATAGGTTTTATAGTTGTTTACCTTTTAATTTTTATTACCGCTCCTTACTGATTACAGGCCGGTCGCGAAATTGCAGCTTCTTTGCGTCCTATTAGTCGTGGACCACCAATCGCTATTAAGTCTGATGGAACGGTTTTTTAAACCAATTTTAATCAGTAAATCTAGTCATTATAATTTATTCTAATACATGCATTGTTAAACAATGTCTATTTAAGTCGAATGGTATGAAGTCATTCGAATTTAGTTACTAGATCTTTTTTGATCAAAAAATAAAACTTTAAAATATATATTACCATATATTATTTCTGTTTTCGATTTGCTTGATATTGGCGATTCGTGATACAACATATATATATATATTGTGAATCCTGTGAGTCCCGTGTTTACAACGTAGGCAATCATTACATTTTGCGACTCATTTCATCGATATCTTTTTAACATTTTATTATTCGCATATTTATATTTTAAGCTTTTTTTAACTAGTATAAATTTGTGAGTCTCGGAGCTGGAGATTAAAGCAAACACATGAACAATGATTTTACCTTACGATAACAAGAACGATGTTAATAATCGTATTTATTAAAGGAATTCTGTATAATATAACGACTTTAGGTGATTACCTATATTGTAATCATTGGATTCACGGGACTCACAAAAGTAAAATTTGATTGGCAATTATCACGTACTAGAGAATATAACCAATTTTTTATTCTAATTTTTTATTTGAAATTTTCAAATCAGAATTTTCAAATTAGAAATTTTAAATCAGAATTGTCAAATCAGAATTTTCAAATTAAAAATTTCAAAATCAGAATTTTCAAATCAAATTTGTCTATCATGCTGCAAAAGCCCGTCTTTTGTCATTTACGTTCTTTTCGTTGTTGAGTAACTTTGATTATGTTCCAAACTCTAACCTGGATAATCAGACGAAAAAGCGTCGCCTGGAAATCAGTTATTCATCAGTATTTAAGATTATGGCAGTTTGCAAAAAGGTGTGACCCTGTGATTTCGTGATGATGATAGCGGAAAATTTGCGAGATTTTAATTCCCTATTGATCATAATTTTCGATCAATAACGTCTTTTATTTAAAATCTTTAAAATTCTCTAAGACTACTAGAATCGGCCGATTTCTCGTGATTTTATATGACATTATGATCTGCAGAGGTACACCTTTTTGCAAACCGCTATAAATATTCCGATAATTCATTTTTATATGACAGATACGGTAATCTTGTAATTATTACATTGTACTGTACGTACAGGTCAGATATATATTCATAACAAATTACAGAATACCCTGTCAAAACCTGTATGCATGGTAGACAAATTTTACATCAGCTTTAAAAGGTGGGGTCTTTGCCTTGAAAATGACCTTACTGGACTATGTAGATTTTATGAATAAAAATTAAATTTCTAGCTATCCAGTAATTCAATTCAAATAAACTTTTTTCATTCATAAAATCTACATAGTCCCGTAAAGACCCCCAGGTTATCAAGTTTAAGAGGCTAAAATTATTAAATTAGAACAGATTTGGTGATCAATTTTTCGTTGATTTTTGACATTTTATCCGTTTTTTAATAGGATCATTTGTACTATATACAATATAATTTTTTTCTTGTTGAAAAAAATCTATTCACACATTATAGACTCTAGCTTTGATGACCATCATTATGATTATTTCATGAGACTTTACAATGAGCACATTTGGATAAATATTTTAACAATTAACTTTTTAAATAGCTACTAATGTAGTTTTTTAATGCTATTTTAAGGTTGCTTATGAAGGCTTCTGCTTTCTTTGCAATATAGAGCTATTGATGATGTTGCATGTAATAATACAATCTTTGATAAATCGAAAATTTCACTGAATAAGATTTAAAATAAAACTTGTGAATTTCTTGGATCCTTTAAAGTGAGTGACTGTACCACATTTCTTTATTGGCAGCGCATGTGTCTGATGTGTAGAACATTTGTTTTTTACGATATAGTAAATATTATACTTCATTCCAACTATTTGATCTATTCTTGTTGTAAGTTGGCCAATGCACAATTCTTCAATGCTTGAAAATAAGTCTCGCTGTGAGTACATAAACAATGCATGTAATTTTTTTAAATTTAGTGCTATATATATTTCTTTTTTTCAAAACAAAGTAAATATTCTTATGCAGTTGTATGATATTGAAGCATCTGATCTCTCATGAAAGGAGCATTGGCAAGCCATGTAGAAAATTCGTTGTGCAATTGTTATTTGCACAAATTTAACAATGGGCTGTGCAAATTGCACAAAAAATAGAATAACATTTCATGTATAAAAAAATTTTTTGCACAGCCGAATTTTCAACAGTGCTTATAGCGGTTGCAAAAAGGTGTAGAACATAAAATTATAAAATTATAAGAATCAGTCAATTCTAGTAGATTTTTCAATTCTTAAAGAATTTTAAAGATTCTAAATAAAATATAGACGTTATTGATCGAAATTAGGGAATTAAAATTTCATAAATTTTCCGCTATCATCATCACGAAATCACAGGGTCATACCTTTTTGCAAACCGTTATAATTAAGGGCTTAAAATTAAAAGCTTGCATTAATTTGAACATTGTTACCTCGAAGTTACCTCCCAATATCCCTATGATCTCTGTACGTGTTACCACAGGATATTCAGGGATACTATGAACTTACCCCTGTTATGCTGGCAATGTGATATACTTATCAACAACTCGAAGAAGAACTTGATTAGTGTCATGGATCAATGCGCAGCACGGATCGCCTTGAACCGTTAAACCATTGATCTTTAAGGATCAAAGGATGATCACCTTACTAACATTCGTACTGACCCCATATCCGTACTATTACACACAGCACCTTATTTTTCAAAATCGTTACTACTATACACATCACTTTTAGTTACCATATCGGTCCCGATATTGGTGATGTGAAGCTTAAGAACAACACATGCGTAACATCAATGGTGGACTCCAAAAAGGGCCTATTAACTACTGTGTCAATGATCATAATACCGAATTGGCCTCATTACCGCCACCATTTGAGCGAAAAGTTATATTCCGCCCATGTCATCCATGCAGATAAACAAGAAATAAACAAGCTTAAGGCTTTTCATGAAGTTATCATCCGTAATCATAACAGATCAAGGCCCATTGTAGACAAAGACCAAAGAAAGTATGGTAATATCAGATGAGGGAATTGGAGTTGAAAAGAACAATCTTTGATTGATAGATCAATAAATAGAATTCCAATTCATCCATTGTAAATTAATTATATAGCCACATTTGTTATTTAAAGGATGCGAATTTGCCCTAGCTTAGTTTTTACAATCTTTGACACCCTTAATAACAACTATATATGGGGTGGAGTCAATAAAAAAGGGACAAATTTTTTCTAAGTAAAGGTTTTCTTGACTTTAAGCTTAAATATCTTAGCAATTATCTTATTAAATTTAATAATTATTTTTTTATTTTAATTCTTTATAATTTCAAAATTAAAATAAAAAAATTTTGAGCAAATTTGGTTAATTAGTTGTTGAGATATTTTAATTTAAAAATTAAAAAAATTTTACTAAAAATGATTTATCCCTTTTCTATTGATTCCACCCATATCTTCATATATATAGTTCTCTTAATAGAATAGCTTCGAATTCTCCACTGTATTCCTTTTTAACTATCTCCATACAGTTATCTTTTTGTTGTTATTAATAAACTTGTATGTGTCCTCATACATGTTAAAATCATAAAGCTCATGTTCACATATGACTCGTGATCCTTGAGTATTGTTGTAATCACATAAGACTCGTGATTCTTTATTATTGTGTTGTCACATGTGACTTGTGACAATTCTTATTACAATACTTTGTATCTTCATATACGTTGTATTGTTGCCTCTTTTGACAAAGCCTTAATAAACCTCTTGTCTAAGTTGTTGTATCAACGCATCTTACCCTAGCCAAATCACAAAATAATAGTCTGTAATAGACTAAACCATAGTTCCTGAAATCATTCTTAGAGGTCGATTTTGAGTGTAACAACATGAATTTGATTGAGCTAAAATGTATTTTTAGGAGCCTACTAAAAAATATGAGGTTATTAACTCCTTTTGTAAAGAAGATATGTGAAGATTTTGCGAAAAATCCCAATAAAAATTTTAATGAGTTTTTCACTTTTGAATCTCACATGTTTGTTATAAAGAAGAAAGTTAAATGACCTACGGGAAATTACAAAAAGAATTCTTATTATATTGTAAATTTTGTGAAAATTAGTTACAATAGGAAAAAATCCAAAATCTGATAAAAAATTTGGTAGTTTCCAGAGTTACTGAGATCATTGTTCTTATTATTCTGACCACATTAAAAAATCAGCCAGTTAGAAAGTCTGCTTTTGTTAGTATGTAAGTATAAATCATTTTCTTTTAGCTTTTAGAAAGTTGATCTTAGTGTATATTTATTTTATTACACATATAGTGCTGAGCAGTAAGGCTAGCAAAAATTAAATAAAAAGAGAAAAATATATGAATATTTGTATGTTGAATCCTGCGTCTGGTCTGTGATAAAAAAAATAGCAGTCATGTGCAGAAACAAAACAATGGAATGTATTGGAATCAAGTGATAAATCTAGTATTTTAGTAGTCCAAGTTATGTGGAAAATGCATCATCTCTCTGTTCTTGTTAGAGAAAAGATGAAATTCATCACTTATATCATTTATACTCCGAATATTTCTTTTTGATAGTGTATGTATATCAACTAATACACAACATAAAGACCTATATATAAGTATATATATATATAATATATATTTATTTTTTAAAAAAAATATCTTTTCTAATGGCCAAAAATTATTATCCAGTAGCATATTTCCAACAAAAAAATTATACTAAGTTCCTTACACTTTTATTTTGAAATTTCATCATTCTTTCAATAATAACAAATTTATTGAATTTGGTGCAACTTTTAAATTTTCTCTGCTCATCGAGCTAATTTATAATACACAATTAAATTCTTTACCAAATTCTTTATAACATGATGATGAATATGCAAATGATATTCCTATAAAAGATACTAAATCAAATATGTTACAAAAATTCTATTTCTGCAAAAAAATTATCGATTTCTTTTTTTTTTGCAATAATTCTTCTAATCATAGACGCAAGTAATAATAAAAGGTGGATGAATCTTGGAATGTTGAGATTCGAGTACATCGCACTATAAATAGTGAAAAAACAAATGACGTTACTATTACTATGGGTATGTTCATTCAAAAAGTATGTATAATTTTGAACATGAAAGATATCAATAGCCAGTTATAAGCTACCCTTTTCTAAAGGCAAGTCAGCCTAAATTATAAAAAAATATTATCATTTATAATTTTATATTTTTACAAGAGTAAATAGGCGCCACCGGCATCTCTAAATTAATATATTTATTATATATTGTACTAAATTAAATCCTGACTGTAATCTATAAACTGGCATACTTTACATTGCACGGATAAATAACTAAGTCTCCTTCAAAAGAACAGGATGCTAGCCCATAAATTTTATCTTATCAGGAAATTAAGTTTGTGCATATCTTGTTTTCCATCTCTATGGAAGACTGGAAATTTAATATTTTATGACTTATATAAATAGAGAGCTTTGTTAGTAATTCTCTAATCAAGACCTTTAAAATTATTTTTTGCACAGAATAGAAGAAAATCAAAATAGTAGTAAGTTAATTTTTGATGAAAATCAATAACAAAAGTACAGTATAAGACAGCTTGAATAATAATTTTATATACCTGAATCAAGGTGGGTTGAAGCTAGTGTTGGAAATCTTATGTTCTTATGTTCTCATGAGAACATACCTTTAGATTTGAAAACATTTGATATTCTATAAATGTTCTCCATGAAAAAAAATCCGAGAACATAATACTCAAAAAATATGTTCTTTATATAAGTATAATATGAGTATAATAGCATAATGTCAGAAATTAGAAATCGAGCGAAGCTCCGAAATCATCCGAAAAGAAAATGAATGAACATGAAAGATAAGAAGGGTGGGACAAAAATTTAAATAAACTTCCGATATTTTCTGAAATAAAATTTAATAAATAGGGTTATAGATAAATTTTGCTGATGAGAACATAAATAAATTTCTGAGAACATTAAATTAAATAAATTTGTTTCATGCGAAAATAAATCTCTACCAGATTTCCATCACTGGTTGAGTCAAGAAATTTGTTTGGAATGAGAAATTCACTGATCGTTCAATTTTTTTTTTTGTCATAATGAAATGTTAAACCATTTTCTACTGATTAAAATTAATTTTCAACTTATTTGACCTATTTGTTAAAATGTTATAAGAAATTAAATTAGAGATTTGATTAAATGCCGCTACGTCCCGCATTGTCGCATATGGATGTTGTTTAGAAAGCTTAATTTAGGCCAAAATTTTGAAATTACACCCGTGTGCTATTTCGCGACAATACGATAATTGATGTTTGGGTGATGTTAGAATGGTTTGGACAACCATGTATTCGCCTGGAAAGATTATCAACCGAGTCGTGTTTTTGACAAGCCGGCTATTATCATAAATCTTAAGCCAATAATTGACGATGACTGAATCGAATTAGAATGAACTTATCGACTTCGGCCGATCACATTTATCAATTCGGTGATTTTTTCAGTTGTCCCGTGTTTAAAATAATAACTGTCATAAATTCTGGACGACTAAAAAAAATTTACAATGAATGAATCGATATGTTACCAGTTAGAATCAATAAATTACCGACTTCGGTCGAACTCAGAAATCTATCGATTCGGTTGTCCTGGATTTTATGAAAACAACTGTAATATAATAGATGTGTTCACCGTTAATAAATAAAGTGCATAAATAATCGGATACCACTGATGTTCAAAAATTTTTGAGGTGATTTTTTAACCTTTATACTTCTATGATAATACTTGAAAATTATGTTCTCTATATAAGTATAATAGTGTAATAGCAGATTAAATTAAATTAGAAATCGAGCAAAGTTCCGAAATCATCCGAAAAGAAAATGAATGAACATAAAAGACGAGAAAGATTGGGACGAAACTTTGAATAAAAGTCTGCCATTTTCTGAAATAAAGATTTAAAAAAAACTGCCATATAAATAAATTTTACAGTGAGAACATAAATAAATTTTTGAGAATATTAAATGTCGCGGCTGATGCTGAAATTTTGACCTATTTTATTATGAAATTTTTAAAAATTTTCAGGCCTTTTCGTTAGGGTTTTTTTTTAGTGTTAGGTTAGGGTTTGAGGGTAGAGTTGTTAGTAAAAAAGTATATGTGAATTTTAGAGGTATTATGGATTTAAATTGGGACCCTAAATTTCAGCATCAGCCAATTTCAGCATCAGCCGCGACATTAAATTAAATGAATTTGTTCTCATGAGAACATAAATTTCAATCCAGATTTCTGACACTGATGCTAATGAGTCCTCCGCATGATGATTCGCATGATTTTTTAAAAAACTATCAATCTGTATAATGAAATTACGAAAGAAAATTTGTTATTATCAATTCTTAATTTAATAGATAAATTTAAATATATACGTAGTAAAGACTGAAAAAATAATTAACTTATTTGAATAATCGAGCGAATTTTAGTGCTCAAACTAATCTATAATCCAAAGCATTTTTAAATTTGTTATTGTTATGGCAAAAAAGCAGATCAGAGAATTCTGTGATGCATAATTAACATTACTTAGCCCTACATATATAAAATCCAGATATAAATTCAGATATTCGGTTTAAGTTTACAAGTAATCCGGTTATTATAATTGTCAAGATATTTGAACTTTCCTCATTATATGATGAAGAATCATGTAAACTTATATCAGGATCTTGTAAACCCGATTTACTCTATTTTGACCTGTGATGTGATGCATATCATGATGTTTAAGCACAAAAATTCACGTTATTAAAAATAAGTAAGTAATTTTTTGAATTCAAACCAAAATGCTATTACGTCATATATAAATTGGTCTGGGTTCAAAAATAGTTACCCAAACGTCATATAACCATACGCTTCGTGATATTTACATATCATTCTGTTCCTGGTGCGTACATGTTACCTATTACTCTATTGCAATTAAACCACGCCACTATATTTACTAAGCTATAATTAAAATTAAAAGAGAGTAGTTATATTTTATAATATAGTACTATTATTTATAAATTTTATAACATAAAAAAATTCTCTAATACAAATTAGAATATAATGTTTAAAAACTTCTATATTGATATATATATATTATAAAATCTACTATATCTCAGGCTTTTACAAATATTAAACTATAGTACTTCACAAGAACTAAATCATACTACTTCACAGATACTAAATCTCATGATTATAACAGTAATTCATCCGAAATATGAAGATTTACTGAAAAAATAATGTAGTATTAACATTTAATATTAACAAATAAAATAATTTAACTAGTTTTTATTTTTAAACAATTACCTTAAATTGCACTTGATATTTTTCGGATATTAATTATTTTACTCGTATACATATGATCCTGCTGATTTTGAGGGATTAGTGATAATGGTTTAATAATTTTATCAGCATTTAAGAACTGTTTCTTAATTTCGTGTTCATCATCTAAAGCCAAAATTTTAAGCCAATCAATAATTGTATAATAAATAGTCCTAGCGATAGGTCGTCTTTGTGGAACTGAATCCATGCATTGATTTGCCAATTTAATATAACAATCGGGAGTTCCAGGAGCAAACTTTGGTCGCAATCCATTGCAAATTTCTATTGCAAGATCGATATCAAAATTATAGCTATTAAAAGGTCTTTGACCAGTTGTTATTTCAGCCATAATGACACCAAAACTATAGATATCTGCTCTTTTAGTAAACTGTTGTTTTCCTGACAAAACTTCCGGAGCGACATAAGGCAAGACGCCCAAAATAACATCTTTTGCACTATTTTCACTTATCTTTTTAGAAAATCCTAAATCTGACATATAAGAAGTACCTTTGTTGTGAAGTATATTGCCACTATGAAGGTTCGTATGAATATATCCAGCTTCATGAATTTGGTCTAGATCTTTGGATATATCTCTAAGTTGTTTTAATTTAAATTCCCAGGTAAGTCTGTTAAAATTTGATTGCAAAAACTTGCAAATGTTTCCATCAAAAGCATACTGAAATACCATAAGGTATTCATTAACCTTTGAATTATAAGTCAAACCGTATATCTGAATCCTATTGCCATATAATTTACATTGCATGCTATTTTTAAACTTTGAGATTATATAAAAGTATTAGTTCAATAGGCCATTACATAATGTTATAATATACAATTTTAACCTACCTCGCTCAAAAAATCAAAAGAATTTTGATTTGTCATTGTCTTTGATCCAGACAAGGTCTTGAGTGCAACGATGCTATTTGGTTCACGTGATCTATTATAGGAATAATTGTCGCCATCATCTTTTATACATTTATCAATTTTTCGTATGCCATCTAACCAGGTTGCTTTATATATAGATCCCAATCCTCCTTCTCCAATTTTTATAATATTCTCTAGTCTATCAAATGGAATCCATTCAATTGCATCCTCATATGCCAAAGTTCTAAATTGAAATGCTTTTATACAATCATCAATATCCTTATTTCCACTTGTCCACTGTTTTGTTATGTCAGGATCACATGACAGACACCATGCTTCCTTTGTGTTGTCTTCATTACAATGTGCACATTTCCCATACTCTGGTAAGCTTTATAATCACGAATATTGTATATTATTAATATATTCTACATGATTTTAAACTTTATACACGTATTCGAATATAAATAGTCGTTATACTCACCGACTAAATTAATGTGAATGAAATATTTTGAAAGTAAGTATTTATAATTTTGATTAGTGAACTTGTTTTCTTATTTAATTCAAATATTAATAAATGTTCTTTATACTCACGAACTGGATGGAATTATATAGTAAGGTAAATATTTAAGTTTACTTTGTGGACTTGTTTTACTATTTCAATTTCAATGGTTTTATACGATTTACTAATTCCCCACCATTCCTATTGGACGCATAAGAACCTTTTCTCCGATGGACAAAATGTAAAGCATATCGCTCATTAGGATTAGTGCCAAGATAAATTAACGAATAGCTTTCTTTTCTTTAAGACATCAAAAGACGTCTCATAACTAAATAAATTATTGAGCTACTTTATGTTACACAACTGATATTGCAATTTAATTGCTAGACGAAGAGTGACGTAATTACTTTGTCTAATCCGAGATAGGATTCCTAATGCTTCCTATAGGAACTGGTGGGAAAATTAGGGTTCCCTTTTTATACTCACTAACTAATTTAATACGAATGGAATGATTTGAAGGGTATTAAGTAATTGTAAATAAGTATTTATGTTCTTGATTTTGAATAATTCCAATGATTAATAAATATGCTTTATACTCACAGACTAAATTAATGTGAATGAATGATTTGAATTATATTAGTAATGGTAAATAATTGTGTTCATTATTTTGAACTTATTTGCTGATTTTAGCTCCAACGATTAATGAATGATTTTTATACTCACTCTCTGAATGAAAAGATTAATTTATTATATAAAGTAACGTAAATAGGCAGTTATATTTGTGAACTTTTGCTATTTTAATTCCAATGATTAAAAATAATCTTTATACTCACATGCTAAACGGATGATTAATACAAATGTTATGATTTAATTAATGTTCTTGATTTTTAAACTTATTTTGCTAATTTTGATCCATTGATTAATAAATGGTCTTTATACTCACTAACTATATACGGATAAAATAATTTGAAGGTTATTATGTAATGATAAATAAGCATTATGTTGATTTTTGAACTTGTTATGCTAATTTGATTCAATGGTTTACATCATACCTTCCTTCAAAAAATGGAAGAGTTGAGAAAAGGTTATAATAAATTACAAAAAAAGAAAAAATTTCAAAAAAACTTCTCCAAATAACTCGTAACATTATGAAATCTTTTTGAAGTGTTTCACAACCTATATATTTATCTAATTTTTTTTAACTAATTTGAGGGAGGGGATATTGTAAACCATCGAATCAAGTTGGTCGGCCTAATACTCACGAGCTAAATATTTGAAGGGGCATTACATAATGTAATAAATAGTGATGTGAAATGGCTTTGTTAACTTTTATTCAATAAATAAATGATCCTCATACTCACAGACTAAATGCAAATGAAATGATTTGAAAGGCATACGTAATGGTAAATAAGAATTCATGCTCTTTATTTGTGAATTTGCTTTACTTGTATTGCCGATTTAATTAATAAATAGTCTTTATACTTACAGACTGAATGAATATGTAATGGTTAATAAATATTTATGCTCTTGATTTATGAACTTATTAATTCTAATGATTAATAAATAATCTTTATACTCACCGACTAGATTCATGCGAATGAAATTATTTGAAGTGTATTACGTAGTTAAATAAGTATATGTTGATTTTTGAATTTGTTTTACTGAGATATGATAATTCTAAAGAATAATAAATAATCTTTTTACTCACCGACTAAATTATGCGAATGAAATAATTGAAAAGCATTATGTAATGATAAAATAAGTATTTATTTCCTTGATTTGTGAACTTGTTTTACTGATTTTAATTCTAATAAATGGTCTTTATACTCACTAACTAAATTAATACGAATAAATGATTTGAAGAGTATTTATATTCTTGGTTTGTTAGCTTGTTTGGTTGATTTAATTCCAATGTGATAATAAAGTGTTTTTATACTCACAGGCTAAATTAATACGAATGGAAAGATTTGAAGGGATTACGTGATGGTAATAAGTATTTTTGTTTATGATTCGTGAACCTGTTTTTTAAATTTTAATTCTAATAATCTTTACTCACGAGCTAAGTGAAATTACGTAATGGTAAATAAGCATTTATGTTCTTGATTTATTGTTTTTAATTCTATTGATTAATAAATAATTTTACTCACCCACTAAATTATATGAATGGGATAATTTGAAGAATATTATGGATGGTAAATAAGTATATATGTTCTTTTTCTTGAGAACTTATTTTGTTGTTTTTAATCCTAAATATCTTTATACTCACTCACTGAATAAATGATTAATGTGAAGAATAATTTGAAGGGTAAATAAGATTTATGTTCTTCGATTTGTAAACACAATTTACTGATTTAGTTTTATGATTAATAAATGAACTTGGTACTCACAGACTATTAATGCGAATGAAATTATTGAAGGATATTACACAGTGGTAAATAATTAGTTATGTACTTGATTGTGACCTTGTTTTTTTTTTTGCTAACTTTAATTCAAAATAATTTTCATACTCACAGACTAAATATTAATAAGTATATGTTTTTGATTTGTGAACTTGTTTTGCGATTTTAATTTCATGATTAATAAAATAATCTTTATACTCACGAGCTAAATTAAATAATTAATGTGAATAAAATAATTCAAAGGATATTACGCAATGGATAACAAGATTTATGTTGTTTTGCTAATTTTAATTCTAATGATTAAAAAATGATCATTATACTAACCCACTAAATTAATGCGATTAAATAGTTTGAAGGGTGTTATGCAATAAGTATTATATTCATGATCTGTGAACTTTGCAGCTTTTAATTCCGATGATCTTTTTACTCACAGGCTAAAATAAATGATTTGAAATATTGCGTAATAGTAAAAAAAGTGAATACTTGTCTTATTTTAATTCCAATGATTAATAATAATCTTTATACTCACCCACTAAATTAATGCGAATGAAATAAATTGAAAGATTTATGTAATGGGTAAATAAGTATTTATATTCTTAGCGAACTTGTTTTGCTAATTTTAATTAAATAAGGGATTG